GGCCGTCCCCCAGGGGCGCTCCCAGCCGGGGGCCCGTCCTCCAGGGGCGCTCCCAGCCGGGGGCCCATCCCGCAGGGGTGCTCTCAGCCGGGGGCCCGACCTCCAGGGGCGGCCTGTCCCCCAGGCGCTCTCCCAGCCGGGGCCCTTCCTCCAGGGGCGCTCCCAGCCGGGGGCCCGTCCCGCAGGGGTGCTCTCAGCCGGGGGCCTGACCTCCAGGGGCGGCCTGTCCCCCAGGGGCTCTCCCAGCCGGGACCCGTCCTCCAGGGGCTCTCCCAGCCGGGGGCCCGTCCCCCAAGGGCGCTCCCAGCCGGGTGCCCGTCCTCCAGGGGCTCTCCCAGCCGGGGTCCGTCCCCCAGGGGCGCTCCCAGCCGGGGCCCCGTCCCCCAGGGGTGCTCCCAGCCGGGGCCCCGACCTCCAGGGGCTCTCCCAGCCGGGGGCCCGTCCCCCAGGGGCGCTCCCAGACGGGGCCCCGTCCCCCAGGGGCGCTCCCAGCCGGGTGCCCGTCCCCCAGGGGCTCTCCCAGCAAGGAGACAGGGAGCTGCATGCAGGCGTCTTCTCTGCAGACTGTCCTCCGGGACGGGGTGTTTGCGTGTCAGCAGGAAGAAGGCAGGCCTGGCGACCCAGGTGGGGCGCATCCGTGGGCTACTCTGGCCGGGGAGTCTGAGCCCCAGCTCGCCTGGGTACTTCAAGAACCAAGAACATTCTGGCTCCAGTTGTCTGGGGCACGCTGGAAACACGGCTCTTCCAGCTACTCCCAGTTGTGGCCGCTTTCCCCCTTCCACCTACTCCCAGGGAGAGGCTGGTCCCCGGGCAGACAACGGGTGGACCGGATGCCGGCTCCTGGGCCGCAGGGAGGAGCAGGCTGGTGCGCTTGCCCTCTCCCGGCCCCAGCTCCGGCTCCTGCTCAAAGAGCAGACAGACACCCCCAGGTCAGGTCCCGAGCAAGAGCCCGTGCAGCAGCTGTCCTGGGAGGGAGCGCTCCCTCTCATGAAGGGACGGGGACCCCGGCAGAAAAGCCCCAGTGAGAAGACACAGCAAAGGTGGCCTTCGTGCGGGACCCCTCCCTCCTGGGAACCTCTGCGTCTGGAAGGCACAGCCCCACAAACTCTGGGAACGGCTTTCTCCTCGGGGAGGGCAGACCCTCTCCCGTGGCAGCAGAGGGCCCACCCGGGGACCCTGAGACCCCGCTGGCGGTGAAGCGGGTCCGGAGGTCTAATGGGCCAGGTAAACGCAGCCTCCCCCCGAGAACCGGCTGCAAGAGCCCCAAAGACAACACGGGAAAGGCCTGAAGTCCTGGGTCTGCTCACTCCCCACGGCTCTACAGACACAGTCCGTGCGTGCGCGCGGCCACGGCCCGGAGCTGCCGGGTGGGAGCAGGTGCCAGGACCCCCGCCCGCTGCTCCCACCAGGTTCTCCCCCAGAGACACACTGCACAGCACTGGATTCGTGTTTCACAACTTTAATAGAATATTCTAACTATTCTGTACAAATTGAAAACACCGTATTCAGTTACAAATGTATTGTAAGTAAGGCTGAGCACTCTACAGGCCTGGTCACAGTGTGGACACGGCATCCCCGGCTGCCAGAGACCGCGGTCACACACTCGGAAACCTCACACGCCAGCCAAGAACGGGTCACTCCGAACCCAGGGCTTTGAAGACAAGATGAGCACAGGGCCGAGAAACAGGGGCTACTGAGGAAGCAAGACCCGACATGCACACACTAGGAGAAGCGGCCCCCCGCCACGGGCGCCCCCCGCGCCCCTGCCAGAGCCGGAGGTCCGTCCGGCAGGAAAACGAGCCCGGCCTCGGCCGCTGGCGGGACAGAGCGAGGGTCCCTCTACGCAGGCCTGGCTCGCGTGGGAGCCGCCAGCACACCCACCTGGGGAGTCACCGGGTCACCAGGCACACACACGGGTTCAGAGACTGTAAGGACGAGCGACGGCAGGCGCCCCGAGCCCTCACGGGCAGGAGAGAATAAATAAATACGAGGATGGACCACAAGCACCGGCGCCTCGGGGCTGGAGTGCGCGCACCCCCTACGCCACCCCGAGGGAGACAAAACTGGAGAGGGAACGCTCTAAGAACGGGACTCGACTCTACCAGCCCTTGGGGCACGACGAGAGCACAGGAGACCAAGTGGCGGAAACACAAAGCGTGTGAGTTTCTCCAAGTGAAGGAAGAATCCGGTCCGACTGCGGAGCGGAGGTACTGGCTCTAGATGCCCTGGAACCACGTCCCCAGACGCCTGCCCTTGGCGTCGACCGACCTTCCACCGCCCCCTCCTCCCAAAGGCAGGGCCTGGGAAAGTCCACCGCGCTGCACCCAAGGCCGTAGAGGGTGCTGGAAGCAAACCTCCTATCTCTGAAATGCATTTAAGTCGCCACTGTACAGGTTAAGCCAAATAATAAAGATAAAGGAAAAGTTAACGTCAAAATCATGCACTTGAAAACGAGTTAGAGGCGAGGGCTGCCGGTGCAGTCGCGCTGCGGCCGCGACGGGTCCTCGGTGCCGTCGTCTTACTGCTGTTTGCACTCGGAGGGCTGGCTGGGCTCCTTCTGCAACGAGAGAACAGCACTTGTAGGGAACCGATCTCATCAACCAGCCGTCTCCAACCAACGACGGAGGGAAGACTCAACGAGTGTGCTCATTCTTACTGAAAAAATGGTCCCTGCAAACACACTTTTAAAAGAGCAGTGACAAAGGGGCGCCTGGGGGGCTCAGTCGGTTAAGTAAGCGTCTGACTCTTGATTCAGGCTGAGGTCATGATCCCAGGGTCGTGGGATCGAGGCCTGTGTAGGGCTCTGTGCCTACTTGGGATCCTCTCTCCGCCCTCCCCTGCTTGCTTGCTCGCTGACTCTCAAAATAAAGAAACTTAAAAAATAATTTGAAATAGTGGAGCGCCGGAATGGGGCTCAGTCGGCTCAAGTCACCATCTCACGGCTCGTGGGTTCAAGCCCCGCGTCGGGCTCTGCGCTGACGGCTCGGAGCCTGGAGCCGGCTTCCGATTCTGTGTCTCCCCCTCTCTCTGCCCCTTCCCCATTTGCACCGTCTCTCTCAAACAGACACTAAGAAAAACTTAAAAATTTTTCAACGGTAACAAAAAATAAGTCAGCTTCCCAGAAACAATCTCAGTAGGGCAGCCTTTCTGTTTCAAGCCATGCCCCGAGTTCCAGAGCTGCAAGGCGGCCTCGAAGCTTCGTGGCGGCCCCTAAACACCGCCTGCGTGAAACAGCAGGAGACTCCCCCTTTCTGCTCCCGCCGCCCCTGAGACAGGCTCAACACTGGAGACGAACAGGGGCCACCCCACCCGGTGTGGGCCAGAGGCAGCCGAGCAGCCACACCTGACGCCGGGAGGCCCCTGCGACGGCTGCACGCACCGCCCCCCGCCCCCATGTCCCTCCCCAGGAGGGAACCCTACCCTTCCAGAAAAGGTGTCAGGGAGAGAGGGGGTCTCCTCAGCACAGAAGAGCACGTTCACCTCGATACAACCTGTCTCCCACCTTTACAAGCACATTTAGCAAATCCACGCGTTTTGTGTGAAGGCCACCAACAGCCCGACTCACACGACGAGGTCACCGGCCATCCTCAGCATATAAACGCACCAGTCAGTCGCCTGGAATTCTTGGCTGCCAAGGCTACACATCACTCAGAACACGATCTGGCAAGCCCAGGGAGGCTAAAACCCCCGCACTACGTGGTCCAGAAGAAACTTCTGGGAAAACAGAACTGGCAGCTGCTACGGTGGAAGCTCCAGCTCATTCTCCAGAGAATCACACTGAAGACAGGGAAAAAATCACACGCAGAGTCCGCAGAAACATGAAACAACATCTGGGACCCTGAGAGGGCACAGGGACGAGGCCGGGCCCTCTGTCCAGCTCTCTGTCCAGCACCCCCAGCAGCGGGGCTGCTCTGAGAGGGGGTCCTGGCCCTGGCACCCGCCCGGCACCCGCTCATCTAAAATACCGCTGAAAAGGCCGGGCGCCAAAACAAAACACACGTGACCAGAAATCCAGGGTAGAAGAGAGCAAAGTCCCACCCACACACCTGGAGGTGACCCACCCAGGCAGTCGAAGAGGCCCCGGGCCGCTGGCTCTCCGTCGGTGCGGCGATGGCAGGAGGGGGGGAGCCGCAGGCAGCTGTCCGCGCGCGAGGTGGGGGCGTGTGTTTCCACAATCGTATTTGCGACAAGGAAGTGGGTCAGAGGAGATGGGGCAAAGGAGGTGGTCGAGAAGGGGGAGAAGGCGGGAACAGGGGAGGGCGGCACAGGACAGGAGGGACTTCTCTACCTTTCCGCACACGAAGGGTTCCACATATACAGTGTTTTGCAACACTGGGTGGGAAACAATTTACGATGTGAAGTCTGGATGATTTCACACGTATATGTATAGGTTTTTAAGCCTGAGAATGTATCACCTACTCACTCAAAACACATCCAGTAGCTTAGGTGATAAAGGCTACTGGAGGCAAGCAGGGCCTCACGACAACCAAGACCAGGAGAGAAGCTGGCGGCCCCACCTGCGGGAGCAGCATCCACAGGGACACAACTCCTAGCTGGTAAAGGTGACCCAGAATCCCAAAGCTTCTCAGGTGAGTCTCATCAACGAGACACCAATGGTTTCCAACCCGTGACACAGGCCAAAACAAAACTGCACTGAGCCCCAGCACCCTCTGTTTCACATCACAGAGTCTGATGACGGCTCAGTCACTCAACGCCACTGCTTATCAAAGGAACGGAGGCAGGGGTTTCAAAGGCACACTCTAATAGCCCAAACCCTGCCCGTCTGGGAACCATTTAAAAGACAAGTTTTCCCAGACGACACGTGCCGGGGAAGGAGTGGAAAAGGGCCACCAAGCACACAGCCGGCCGGCACTGCGTCACGGGGGCCCAAGGGCTGCCCGACTATGGGGGGAACGGCCGCCTCCCCCCACCCCCCCGGAGAAGCTGGGACCCCGGCAAGAACCTGACGACATCGCCACAGGACTGGCAAAACTGCCGAGACACGCCGGTGTTACTCGGGGTGGCCACACGCCAGGAGGGTCCCTCTGTCCTAGAGACACGGGCTGCTGGGCTGCGGACGCTCCCAAGCGACTGGCGGGGTGGGAGGAGCGGGGCTTGGGTGGAGCAAGCCTGGCTGCTGGTCCTTCAGACGGGTGGGGCGGCGGGAACCGAGCAATCGCGCTGTCATCCGTGCACGTCAATCATCAGACTCGACCCTTCAAACACGCGGGTCCGAGGCCGCGCGTCTCCCCTAGCTAAAACGTTTCTTTGGCCTCGTCTATGAGAACGAGCCCACGCGAGGGAGAGAGGAAGGCAATGCAGACAGACGCTCAAAGGTGTTTGGTCTAAATGACGGTCAGGATCAGCTGGTCACCTGCGGCGGGAAGTTCAAGTTCCTGCTCACAGGCTCCGCTGTGTAAGCGGCCGCTGCTGCTCAGCCTTCCTCTGCTGGGTACGAGCATCGCCTCCCGTGGCACCTGCCGACCACCACCCTCCCCAACCCCGTCAAGTGAGGACGGTGTCCCCGGGGGGAGGGAGCTGATGACTGGAACAGAGCTGCGATGTCGAGGATGGCCCTCACCGTGGGGGATGGGAGTGGGGGGTGGGCGGCCCCCAGGAGACTGCTGCTAGCTCTTACCCGCTCAGAACTCTCCAGCAGCTAGCCACACCAGCACCTGCTACTAACGCTACACCGGACCACAGCTTTGGGCACAAAAATTCTGGCACGAAGTTTAGTTAGCCCTTTATGACCTACCGGTCTGCACCACACCTGATTAAAAAGTATAAACAATCACTAGAAACACATCAAGAAAAAGCAATGGGCTCATTCCTACCGCAAGGGGTGTGGCTGGTCCTAGCACAGCCCAGGCAACATGGTCTCCACCTCCCAGGGCCCTCACTCACTGTCCTCTTCCTGCAGGGCCGTTCTGTCAAAATGCCACACCAGTCATGCCTTTGCTACTCGGTCAGAAATGAACACTGGGCTTGCAAAGCGGGAGCCAAATGTAGTTTCTGACAGTCAGTTTTAGAGGTACACAAAACAGGGGCACCTGGGTGGCTCGGCCAGTTAAGTGTCTGACTCTTGACCTCAGGGTTGTGAGTTCAAGCCCCACGCTGGGCTCCATACTGGACGTGGAGGCTACTTAAAAAAAAAACAAAAACAAAAACAAAAACAAGGCGACAACAGATGCTGGCAAGGATGCAGAGAAAGGGGGAACCCTCTTGCACTGCTGGTGGGAATGCAAACTGGTGCAGCTACTCTGGAAAACAGGATGGAGGTTCCTCAAAAAATTAAAAATAGAACTCCCCTCTGACCCGGCAATTGCATTACTAGGTACTTATCCAAGGGATACAGGTGTGCTGTTTCGAAGGGACATGTGTACCCCAATGTTTTATAGCAGCACTATCAACAATAGCCTAAGTATGGAGAGAGCCCAAACGTCCATTGACGGATGAATGAATAAAGAAGATGTGGGATGTATACGTATATACGTAACGGAGTATTACTCGGCAATCAAAAAGAATGAAATCTTGCCATTGGCAACGACGTGGATGGAAGCAGAGAGTATTACGCTAAGCGAAATTAGTCAGGGAAAGACAAACATCATATGACTTCACTCACATGAGGACTTTAAGAGACAAAACAGATGTACGTAGGGGAAGGGAAGCAAAAACAAGATAAAATCAGGGAGGGGGACAGAGCATAAGAGACTCTAAAACATGGAGAACAAACAGAGGGTTACTAGAGGGGGTGTGGGAGGGGGGATGGGCTAAATGGGGGAGGGGCGCCAAGGAATCTACTCCGGAAATCACTGTTGCACCAGACGCTAACTAGGGTGTAAACTTAAAAGAGAAACTGAATTAAAAACAACTTAAAAACAAAAGCCAAAAGGCCGCATACACAACAGGCCCCTGCGCAAAAATACTGTTCCTCGGGAAGCCGCACGTTCAGCCTGGTGCACACTGGATGTGCCTGGCCGGCAGCTTCCTCTCTGTCCGCAGAGCGACAGTGAGGCACGACCGTAAGGCACAGGCCAGGAGACGGGGTTAGGAACGAATACAGCTCCACCTTACCTAGAAATGTATGAATGATTAGCAGACGAAAATTACACCTACGTGGGGAAAAAACTGAAAGGAACTGTCAGCATAAAGGAAAATAAACTGCACCAAATTATACCGACAGAAACAGTGACTCTCTCATGACGCAACGGCTGCCAAATCTCGAGCTTGAGATGAACCACCCCCACCCATCACACCTGTCCCTTTAGTACCCAAACTGCCCCTGTCCCTGTCTGCCTCCACTTGTGCAGACCCTGACGGGACAAATCCCTCCGCGGGACCAGACTCGGGCCCTTCTGGCTGCCCAGACCCGGCGGTCCTGGGGCCTCACGCTGCTGAGGCTACTCGTTCAGTCACCGCTCTCCTTCCCCTGACCGACAGCACAGACGGAGACCCATGGAGCGCTACTCCTGACCGCCCTCCCCCGTGTCACGTTACTGGTGAGAGGACGCCCTGCCAGCAAAACAGACGTGGCAGGAGACAGAAGGCTCGGCGAGGAGAGAGGAGAGGACAGACAACAGAAGGAAGCGACGCGACAACGGAGCCCTCACTGCCGGCAACAGGGGAGACCGGAGGCAGCCGGGCCCCGAGTCTGGACGCGGTCTCGGCTCTAGAATCCAAACTGTGGGCGTGTGCGCCAGCGGGAGAGCAGGAAGGAGCAGGCGGCCGGTGGGGGCCACCTGAGGCGGGGCCCCGGTGTCGCGGAGGCGAGCACGGGCGCGTCTGCGCGGCAGTCCTGCCGTGGTGCGTGGGCCGGCTTTGCAAGGATGCCCCTCTCCGTGAGCTTACGCCCAGAGGAGAATTCACGTGGCACGTTTCTGAAAGTCTGACGCCTCCCTCCCGTCCTTCCCTAGAAGGAGCTAGGACGGCATTTACGGAAAGACTTGGTGTTAAAAACCAAACCAAACCAAACCACTTACAGAGCTAGGTTATGACGCCGACAGTCTCCGCACGTCCCACTCAGGGCAAAAACGGGGGACGGACGGACAAACAGTGTCTAGTTACGCCGAGATCCCGTCAGCACACGCAGGGGACACCAGGGCTCCGCTGGCCCACCACGGATTCAACTCTAAGCTGCGCGCGCGTTACCGACCTCACGCTCGCAGACACGACGTGCAGCTTCAGGACCGCGTTAAAGCGGTTCCGGATTCAGAGGCTGTGGCAAGCGGCAAGGTGCCTCCATTTAGGCTGACCTGAGACCAGAAGTCAAAACTCACCTCTACAGGTACAGTTAATGGAGTTGCCCGTTCTCCTCAGCTGGTTTTTTTGTTGGTTTAACTAAAGCTTCCTAGTTCATCTGCGATCGTTGGAGATATTTCACGCAGCTCCGAGTAACCTCAGCCCAAATACAGTCACAAGATCATGTCTACAACTTCACTACTCTACTCATTAAAAGAAATAATAACAACCCCCCAAAGTCCCTCCTTTCAAAGTCCCTCTTTCCCAAAAATAAACACACAGAAGTTTACCGCGTCGCCATTTAGTCATTACCTTAGAAGAATTAAAGATCTGGAAAATAAGGCTGCCCTCCTGACTAGTTTAAGAAAACAAAGGACAGCTCAGGAAGGAGCCGGAAAAGCACTGACTGGGTATCTACACCTCACACTAAATGACACCTGAGGTGTCTGAATAGCCCCTGTTCGAGAACTTTCTGCTCTGCTCTCAGGACTGACGGGAGGACACACGGGCCCCGCACCCGCACCGCCTCCTTGTGGGGGGCCGTCTGAGCACACGGCACGGGGCTTGCAGGTGTGCGCAGCCCCGACAACTGACCTTGGGGTTAATTTCGGCATCGTCCTCATCCTCTCCCTCCTCGTCACCTTCCAATTCCTGCACAAGAGAGTGAGAAGGGGCTGAACGGACGGGATTCAAACTCTCGGGGCCTCACTTGCCCCAAACCAACTAAACAACCCCTGGATTTAGACGGAATCGACAATCACTGTCTGGGACTGATTATGTCACATCCTCCGGACACAATGGCTTCCGGGTACTTCATCCCCTCACAGATAATGGGCGTCAACACACTGCTGAAAACGCAGGGTCAGCCGCCGGACCCTGGGGCGGCGCTGGCCGCCCCCCTGGTTTTAACAGGGCGCAGCCCTCGGAGGCAGCTCCGCACAAGTTGGGTGTAACTGGTCTTGTGCTTCCGCGACCTCGCGCACTCGAGCAGGGGCAGCCCGGCGCGGCCGCAGGGAAGGGACGCTCCACGCGGGCCAAGTCTTACCTCCTCTTCTCCTTCCTCACCCTCTTCAAACTGAAAAAAGAAAACAGAGACAAGTTTTTAAGTCTCTGGAGCGCAAGGGCGCCCCGACCCAGACACAGTCCCCCCCGTCAAGTGTCCCTACTGGTCAGGCCCGAGGAAAGAGGCCGGTCGGCAGCACCCATTCCAGGCCCAGGTCTCAAGGGGAGGGTCTGCTGCTGGACCATCTTGGCCTTGGAACGGGGACTAGGCTGCGGCCAGCGCTGCGGGGCCTCGTGTTCACAAGCCCCACTGCGGTCACAGGACTCCGGGTGGCTGAAAACCACTGAAAACAAGGCCTAAGGATGGGCGGGGGGGGGGGGGGGGGTGGGGGTGGTGGAGGGGGTGGGTGGAGGCTGGTCAGCATGAGAACATACTGGGTTCACCTGGGAAACTGGCTGACCTAAGCAAGCCGGCAGAGGGCGTTTACTACAAAGATGCATGAACTTCCACGGCATTTTATGTCTCATACAAGGATAAACGTTTCTGTGTTAGAAGTACGATAAAACCTGGGTGCTAACCTTTAAAAGAACTCAGAACTAAGGCGTGCAGAAGAGACCCCCAACACTGTAGCTGGCTGGTCTTGAGTGAATTTCTCCCAGGTCCAAAGACGTCACGGGTCAGGCTCTCATTCAAGCTCCAAACATCAGACTCCGATCACAACCAAACCCACAACAAACCTTATCGCTACTGCCTGCATGGCACAAGAGACCCGTTAAGCAGGCCTTTTCTTCGTTGGAGTCCACACACGTCCCCTCAGTGACAGCTCACACAGAACTCCAGAGAGCGGGGGCCGGGGGGCCCAGGGCGCGGGCCCTCCCGCGCCGGCAGGTGTCTGAACACACCCCAGGGCCCTTTCCCCCTTGTGCCCTGACCGGCCTGTGGCAGAGGAAGACCCTGGCTTGCTCTCTGGCAGCTAACTGCATTTCAGCGCAGCCTCTGACTGGAACTGGCCTCCGACGGGCCCAAGCGCGGCTTTCCTGAGGTTCTCAGCAGATCACCTCACTCTGGACCCGGAGGGGCCTGGGGGGTCCTGCCGCAAGCACACCTGACACTCCCGCAGAGCGGCGGCCCCCGGGTGGAGGTGGGGGTGGGGGTGTGGAGCCCGCGGGGCAAGCGAGCCGGGCCGGGAGAGCGTGGGAACCGAGCCGGTCCCCCCGCACCGCGCGCGGGGCTTGGGCAAGGCTGCCAACGCCACAGAGGCCTGCAGGTTAACCTCTACCCGACAGGCGCCAAGGAGCGGTGCCAACAGGAGCTACTCTCAGCCTCACGTGTCACCAGACTCCCCACCACTGACCGCACTGTCCCGGGCGGACTCCGCAGCAGAGGCTGGCACGTGGCTGCCGAGGGGTCAGGACCCCGGTCTGAGCAGTCAGCGTGCGGCTCCCCTCCGCGCGGAAGGCAAGCCATGCCGGCCGCGGTGCCTGCCCCTTAAATAAACACGTGCGGGCGCTGCCCCCTCAAGTTTTAAAACTCGTGGGTGTGCGATCAACGAAGTCCGGGCACCCCCGGTCTGGAGACGAGCTTTCCGGGGCGCGTAGTCACGAGAGTCTTGGGCCACACTAAGTAAAGCCGAACATCCGGTTCCTCAGTTGCCAACAATCTCCGTCACGGTCTTTACGCCTCCCATCAGGTGGTCCTGCTGCATCGGACAGTGTGGGCAGGGGAGCACAGAAAGTTCTGCCGGTCGGGCCGGTCTACCACCCGTGACGTCAATTTCAGCCGTGCTGCTTACACACCTGACACGACGCGACCCCGCCCCACAGCCGCCTCCTGCCCCAGCCCGGGACTGAAGTTAGCTCATCTCAGATGGTCTCCGGCTCCACAGCTGACCCCCCCCACAACGACCGTGAGCACAGAAGAGAACTGTGGGAAGCGGGCCTGCACTGCCCCTGGGCGCCAAGCACCCGGAACCTGCCTCGCTCCCGCTGCCCCGTCTAAGGCCTCGGCAGACCCCTCAGAAAAGAAACCTAGAACCGTCCGGAACACCCAAGAGCCCTAAAAGCAAGAGAGTAAATACCATCTAAAACACTTGCAGCAGATGCTACAAAACAGTACTGCCATAAATCAAGCAGACCCAGTGGCCTGGGCCTCGGTTGTGATGGAGAACCGTCTCCGGTGACCACAGGACAGCTCGCCAGACTGTGCGCTCAAGCAGAGAGAGCAGCCTGGCCACCTTCCGTGCAGCACGGGCCTCGAGTCTTTGGGGCTGGTGCGCCACAGGCTAGCAGGGGTCAGCTCGGTGGACGACCGTCTGCCGTGCCAGACCTCCCTGAGTGGCATTTTCCTCCCGTTTCAAAGTTACCCAAAGCTTAAAGGCAGTAAGCAGGACACGGCAAGCACCCGGGGCCCCCCGAGGACAGGCTGGCACTCCGCTCCGAGGCCCCCCGGAGTCCCGCTCCACCCCTGCCCTGTGCCCCGCCACCGGGGGACCCCCAGCTGCCCCTCAGGGCACCCCTGCCCACGTACGTTGTCGTCATCCTCTATGGCCTCGCCCGTGAAGTAGAGCACGGCCCGCGGGACTATCCGCTCACGAAAGAAATGTCCGATTTCAAAGTCGGAGGCTAACGTGAATTCCGAGTCTTCGTCCTGAGAGGGGAAAACGTCAACACGACTCGTTTCCGCGAGACGAGCACCACGCCCTCCCACCCGCACTGTGCCCGCGCTCCGGGCGGCCTGGCAGGCGGGGGCACGGGGACACGTGCTCCAGACCTGCCCCATGGTGCAGTGGACAGAAATGACAGAAACGCCCCCCGGGTCTAAGGGAGGAGGAAGCAGGACTGAAGGGAAGGCAGAATGACTCTGGACACAGAGGCGACTCTGAGGACGACACAAATCTTACCAGTGATTCTCCATCCCCAGATGCTAGAAAACAAAGACCAAACACATCAGCGTTACAGGGACGGCCAGGACCTGGGTAAAGCCCCCTCGGGCGGCCCGGCGGACAGGTCGAGTGCCTCGGCGCACAGCCCGGCCCTGCGCCTCCCCGCCCGCCGCCCGCACCGCCCGCAGACCTGTGCAGAGGGCCAAGGGGGAAGGCATGCCCAGCAGGTTGGGGTTGCCAGGTGGAAAGGCCCATCGAGTGGCGGCACCCCGGCCGTTCTGCGCCTTCAGGCCATAAGCGGAGCTCACACCAGTGCCCCGCGCGGGACCCCGCCGAGAAGGGGGACGGCAGAGCCGTGTTAGCAAAGCAGCGCCCCTCGGCTGGGTCCGCGGGACGTCCTTCCTGCCAAACGAACAGATTCCCTGCGGGCAGCAGGAAGCACCGCACGCCTCACCGACACACACACGCTGGCTCGGCACACACACAGCCGCCCAGATCGTGGTGCCGAACCAGAGCCCGGCCCAGGACCGAGCGTGACAGGAGAGCCAGGGACCGAAAAGTGAACAAAGCCCAGTGACGTTCAGACCCCCGACTTCAGAAGTGCTCGTTCCAGGCCGGGTCTCAGGAGGCGAAGGCTTACCGCGGGGTGGGGCTGGGGCCCGGCGGGCAAAACCCAGCCCTGCGGCCCGCGTCCCCAAGCCTCGGCATGTAAGCCCCCCACCGTGCCCCCCCCCCCCCGGGCTGAGCTTCGGGTTTGGGGACTCTGGCCTGGGGGCCGGGGCTTTGCTCCCTTGACTTTGGGACCTGTTTCTTAGATTTAAGAACAAAAAGGCCATCTTAGATTTCCATCATTTCAAAAAGCATTTTATCGATTTTGGAACTTTTTCTTGAGCATCTGTCACCAACCCACTGTCACCTCATCCTCGTTTTCACAGAGCTCATCACCCGATAAGCTTATCACATTCACCACACGACAAACTTACCCTGTTTCTCTGACTACCTTAACAACAGCTGTACACGGGGTGCCTGGGGGGGCTCAGCTGTCCGACTTCAGCTCAGGGCATGATCTCATGGTCCGTGAGTTCGAGCCCCACACTGGGCTCTGTGCTGACAGCACGGAGCCTGCCTGAGATCCTCTGTACCCCCCGCCAACCCTTCCCCTGCTCACGCTCTGTCTCAAAAATAAACAAACATTTAACAAATAAATAAATAATACTCATCGGAGGAGTCATTCATCTACCACAAAATTTCGGTGCACGGTTCAGGGACCCCTGGCCTGTCTGTAGAGTGACGCGACCAGGACAGTACAGTTTTGGGGTCCCAGAAGTCACCTGCCCAAATGGAGTCCACTTAATCTGACTTCAACTTTCTTCAATTACTTAAAACCCAGTTTGGAGGCTTCCGGCAAACGCGCCGCCTTTCAGGGCGAAGCCGTGTCTACTTCACGGGGAGCGCGTGCAGGTGGCGGCCACCGTGCACGCGAGGCTGCAAAGGGCTTCTTCTCAAACGAGGAAGCCGAAGCGCTGAATCGACGGCTGCGTTTGGCACCCCAGAGGCTCCGAGACAGACCCAGGAAGAGAGGGGCCGAGCGGTGAAGGCAGCGAGCCCAGAGCGCGACGGCCCGCGGCCGAGGGCGAGCAGCCCACGTGCCACCGCGCACACCCGCGAGAAACGGTCTCGCGCGTGTCGTCTTCAGGGGGCCGCCGGACAGGACCCCGAGGGTAAGTGACTCTAGGCCGCGCGTGACGCTCCCAGCGCCACCGCTCACCTTTCAGCGGGCTGAAGAAGTTGAAGAACGAGTCGTTGGGAACCTGTTTGGTGATCGTTCTCACGGTGCCTCGGCCCTTGTGCTTCTGCTTCTTTCTGATCGTCTTGACGGTGACGTTCTTTCCTTTCTTCCAGTCAATGACGCACCTGCAGAGACGGACGCCCATCACGCACACGTACACCCGCCACGGGAGAGCCCGGCAAAGCAGAGCCACGCGCCTAACCCGCACAGCCCTGTCAAAGGAACCCACCCATGGGTCCCCGCGCGCCCAGGCGCATCCGAAGGTCAGCGACAGGAGAAGGGCCAGAGGGGCGGTCTGCCACCGTCCGGGCTGGGAGCACTGCCTTGAGCGGAACGCGTTTCTCCCGAGACCTTCCGTACTTCTTCTGTGGCCGAGCCCGGTCAGCGCGGGGCTAGGGTGCCCAAACGATGCTCACAGGTCATCACCTGCTGTCTCCTGGCCCCAGAGCACAGCTGGACTAACTCATACACCCAAGTTCTCAAGGCAGCTAAGCAAGCAGAACAAGCTGCCGGAAGGCGGCAGGCGACCCCTGGCCGTATTCGCGACCGGGGCACAGCACGCCGGCTGCCGGCTGCCGGCTGCCATGGGGGCCCTGCCGGGGGGTGAGCCCGGCCGGCTTTCTAATCTTCCCATCACTGGGGCTCAACAGGCAGCCCCTGGCAGCACGTGACTAGCGTCTGCTCAGGACGCTGTTTCCACGACGACAGCCTGGGCCTGGGAAACGATCTGACAGAGTCACCATTGCCATTGGAGCCCGGCAGGGTCTTGACGAGGCGCAGAACTGTCACACGGGGAGATTGCAGCACCTGGCTCCAGCGAGTAAGGCTCGTGGTTTCGGCTCAAAGATAGAACAGACCACGAGGAATGAACTCCAACCCACACTGTCTCCCTGGTGATCTCGCCTGAAATCACCGAGGTGCTGGGTCACGAGTCAAACGACAATTAAACTGCCCCATCACTTTTCGAGGAAGCAACGGACCAACGCTGCCCTGCACAGACTCGTCCACTCGCTCAACAAATATTGGCCGAGGGTGACTTATCAGTGCAGCGAGGACAGCTTCGTGTCAAGGGACTACAGCAGCCAATGCCTCCTCCAATGAGGAAACCTGGCCATTTACCCTACACGCTGGCACGCGTGACCTCGTGAATGACACATTTCCCAGCACAGGCCATCATAGCCCCACACAAAAAGACTATTTAACTTAAATCTCTCTGTCTACTGGGCTTTTAAGAAGATTACAGACTTTCTGCTTTATTCCTAATTTCTCTTCCGCGTGGAGCTCTGCAGTCACCTGCTTCTGTCTCACAAAACGAAGCTGGAGCGGCGTCTCCTTACCCATCACAGTCGACTATTTCAGGGCCTTCAAAGGAGAAAGGATCGGCCTTGTCTGGCTCTGACTTCATCTTATATGTTTTCGTCAGGACTGAGTTGGTAAAGTAGTCGTTGGGTTCAAAGTGGAACTCTAAGACAAAAGACTGAAGACAGAAACTCCGGGTGAGCACGGGTGAAAACACAAGTAACCAGTGACAGATCTCGTGAGCCGCACGGCGCGTCCTGGAAACCAGCTGCCCCGAGCGCGCCGCCACAGACGGAAGCCACCAATGAACAGCTCAACAGCGACGGCCACGTGGCAAGAAAAAGTTCTGTTCCAAAAAACACCGGTACAGAGTCAAGACACAAACGACAGGTGGGGGGCCACCTGCCGCACTCCAGCCCCAGGAGGGCGCACGTGGCCCCCGAGGCCCCCTCCCCGGCGGGGTCCACACTCTCCTGAGGGATCCCAGCTTCTGTCTGCTGCCCCTGGCCCACCCTGCCAAGGTGGGGGTGTAGATGGGGAAAGCAGACGGCCGCGGCCCAGCCCCCCTCTCCCTGCCATGCCAAGGGGCCAGGCCCTGTGGGGTGCGGGAGCACTGACGGGGCCTCCTCAAGCCCCACAAAGGACAACTGCATCCTCTGTTCACAAAGCCCTCTAGAACCGGAGAGGAAAAATGGACACAAGGTGTGTACAAAGGAGCAGTCAGGTCACAAATAAAGTCAAGCGGCCAGGAAGAAAGATTCTAGTTTTCCAGTCCGTACGAATAACATCATACTGGCGAAGCGTGTTGGGAAAGCAGGTGCCCTCCATACTGTGAACAGTTTTACAAGGGCACACCTGGCACAATCCAAAGATTAGTGAAAGTAAAATCAATCTAAGGAATTTATATTCCATGTAAAAAAGACACCCGGATGGATGTGTCACTATGTGCAAAGACACTCACCTCAGCCCCATCTTCAGGAAAAAAAGATGGTCTTGGTTAAGTAAGTTACAGACACAATTTACAAGACTGACTCTGAGTTCAGACAGCCCGGGTGCCCAACACTCTGCCTCTAAGTGTGGTGCGACTTTGGGAAGTTACTCAGTGTCTCTGTGCTTTTGTTTCCTCATCTACCTATAAAATGGAAGTAACAATCCTCTCTCTCTCCCCGAGTTGACTAGAACAGAGTTCACAGAAGTTCATAGGCAACGCCTGCTAAATGTTACCTATTTCAATCTTCTTAATAATGGCATAATTACCAACTGGGAAAAAAACAGATTAAAAAGACTGAGAGCTCCTGGCTGGTGGAGCATGAGACTCTTAATCTCGGGGCTGAGTCTGAGGCCCATGATGGGTATGGAGATTTAAAAAAAAAAAAAAAAAAAAAGTAAAATCCAGGGGCGCGTAGGCGGCTCAGTCAGTTGAGCGTCCGACTTCGGTTCAGGCCATGATCTCACGGTTTGTGAGTTTGAGCCCCACGTCGGGGTCTGTGCTGACAGCTCAGAGCCTGGAGCCTGTTCGGATTCTGTGTCTCCCTCTCTCTCTGCCCCTCCCCCGCTCACGCCCTGTCGCTCTCTCAATACTGACTAAAAGTTAAAAAAAAAAAAAAAGTTAAAAGAAAAAAAAAAGTAAAACCTTAAAAACAAACAAAAAAGACTAGGACCAAAGCATATCCACTAAGGGAGAAGTGAAAGCCTGACCATCCAGAGCACAAGTCACTGGTCTGGCGGAGTAAAGCGTCAGATGGAGTCCCCCCTTCTCCATCTGGCCCGACCCCCAGGGCTAAAAACAGCACCCATCCTGGAAAAAGAGCACCCAGTTCGGAGGCTGCGATCGATCACTCCAAGCCTGTTGGGGGCGGGGGCGGCGGCCACAAGCAGGCACAGGCGGCCGGGGACAGGGAGGGCTGGCGAGCGGCACAGCGTCACTCCCACTTTTGCACCGACCACAGTATCCCCTCCGTCCTCTGCCACTTCCTTCCCTACCAGCTCTCCAAACCAAGCGTACGATTCCCCGTCCTCAGGTTTTCCTCCCTGTAGGCCGCCGTTCAAGCCCAAAATAACTAACCCACGATGGGGAGGATTCGGGAAGGGTTCAACGGGAGAAAAGGGCCCAAAGACGAGGCCACGTCCGTCACACACACACCCCCACAGCCGCGTCAGCCGTAAACACGCAGCAGATGCCTCGTCACACTCACACCCACGTGTAAGACCGGAGCTCGCGCTCGCCCAGAGAGGGTGCCAGCGCTCCCGCGGGGACGCCCAGGAGCAGCCCGCACCCGGCACGGCCCACGGTAGGGGCTCCCGTCTGCGGAGCCGGCGTGGGGAGCTCCGATCCGCCGCTGCTCGCAGTTACGTCAAAAGAGAGACACGAGAGCACGAGGACCGCAAAACAGGACGTGGACCAAGATACCGCCAGCAGAAACGCCAAGTGGGCCTCTGAGCCTTGCAAACGTTCCTCTCCTTTGCCCCGGCAAAACTGCGCTGAGACGCATCCGAACTGAGGAAACCCCCAGGAACGTAAACGAGACCCGGGGCCCCGTACGCTGACCCGAGCGCAGCCCTTCAGACGGGGCGGCGGCTGCACGCGCCTGGGCACCGCCCGATCACCCAGCGGCCCCAGGGGCAGTCGTGACCGGGTCCCACCGCTGCGGCGGCACCCACGCCACACCATCCACACACGCGGTCCGTCTGCTGCAGCGTAAGCGTGGGGACCCCGGGGGGGGAGGGCGGTCACGAGGAGAAGCAAACACACTGGCTGCGCTTCATCCTGAGGCTGGATGGTTCTCGTGCCTCTGACTTTAGCGTCTAAAACAGCTCATAACCACCTTTAAAAGACGACCGCGGAAACCGGGTCCGCAGCTGAGCTACTTCTGCAAGACGGAGATCTCTGCGCTTCCCCGTATTTCCTAAGTTTTCCACCGACGGAGGGAGCCACGAGGGAAAAAAGACTGGCTCGCGGTCGACCAAGACCAGGGCTCCTGTCTGCCTAGAAACCTCTGCAAGAGACGGAGACAGGCCGAGAAAGAACACGGACCCGGGAAATCACCAAACGGGTGTCTAGTAACAACAAAGAAAAGAAGGAAAAAGAACCGATCCAGAAGAGAAAACTTGATAAATGGAGTCTAGGTGCCCCGGTGACTCAGTCGGTTAAGCGTCTGACTCTTGATTTCAGCTCAGACCATGATCTAACGGCTCATGAGTTCAAGCCTCACATCGGGCTCAGCACTGACTGCAGAGCCTGCTTGGGATTCTCTCTCTCTGCCCCTCCCATCCTCTCTCTCCAAATAAACAAACATTAATAAATAAACGGAGTCCAGATGACTCAGAGGTGAGGAAGAAGTGTTAGAAAAAAACTGACACAGGATCTTAAAACGGCATGCACGCAGCCCCTTGGGAAGGTGGGGGGAGGATCATAGGAGTCCAAGCACCGGCCCGTGACCGCCCCACACGGCCCCCAGGGGGCGCTGTGGCCAAGCGCCCCCACAGGCCAAAGAAAAAGCCCCGGGAACCAGGCTGACCCGGTGCGGCAGGAAAGGGGTGCCCCACAGCCTGGGAGCAGGCTTCACCAAGGTCCGCACCCTCGACCTGCAGGCGGGAGAGCCAAAAGTCACTTCCCAGAGTGAGAAGGGCAGGAAAAGTGGAAGGGACAGACGCAGTATGGCCCCGGCCCCTCGCCTCCGACAAGGCACCCGCAGGACCAGGGAGAGAAACCCACTTGGCGACACTGGCCCTCGTGCATGGCGTGGGGCCAGCGTTCTGTGACCGGGAGGGAGAACGGCCGGGCCCCAGGTCTCAGGCCCCTCCGCACCTTCCCCCAGACCCATGGCCCTGGGCCACGTCCCGGGGCCTGAAATGGAGAGCCACGAGTCCGTCAACCGTGTGGCGCTGGAGTGGCTCCAGCACCGGGATGGAGCCCCTCGGCCAGAGCCAGGCTCACAGGCCCGAACCTGCCCGTGCCAGGCCCCCCCTCACGCAGGGTGGCGGATGGGCTGGCCTCACACTCCTCCCACACCGCAGCAGGAGTGCTGGAAAGAGGTGCCTCGTGGCAGTCAGGGCGGGGGGGCATTCTTCAGTGTGGTCCCCCCCGCAGTGTCTTGCAGGCATTAGCATCTGGGGTTCCTAGGACAGTGCCGCCCGAATCTGAGGACACACCTACCATTCTTTCCACACACGTCCGAGCCTCACAACCCCGGGAGATGCTTAGGAGAAAGACGCCATCACGCCCTCTGGCAGGGGAGGCAGGGGACAAGCCAGCTCAGAAAGCAGCGCACAGCACGGCGGACACCATGGCCAGCGAGTCCAGTCCTGCGTTGGACTCTGGCCACCTGCCACGGGCAGCTGGCAGCCTGAGCGGCCTGTCAGGCTGTGCAGCACTGCTTGGCGAGGCCCAGGGAGGCCATAGGAGAACATCCTAGCTCTTGGCGACCGTCTGGCTCGGGACCACCCCACAAGTGGGGGCCAGGTCTGGATCCCCTGCCCCGGCTCTGAGCCGCTCACCCTCAGCAGCCTGACCCTTTCTGACGCCAAGTAGGAGCTCGGTCAGTACTCACCATAGGCTGCCCGGGGTCTGAAAACTTCACTTTAATATCCTGCAGGTGCTTCAAGATCGGCTCGTCGTACTCCTAATCATAAACAGAGCAGAAACAACTTTCTAGCAGGCCTTTTCAAAGCAGCAACACGCGTGGTCTTTGAGCCACTGCTGCTCATAGCCCCAGGCGCTGGACCCACAGCCCTGCCGGGCTCTGTGCTCGTCAAGCAGGAACTCCCAGGAAGCCACCCAATCTGTTCACCGACCATGGGTCTCGGTGACAGCAATGAGGGGCAGCCTCTCTCTGGCACGGAGTGCTGGGAACCATCGACGCCAGGGAGGAAGGACAAGGGCCCAACTGCTTTCACACTCTGCCAGCTGCCGCCACGTACGGGTGTCGACCAAGACTGCTGGTCTGCACGTCTCCGAAGAGAGAACCAGAAGAAGCCCCTGGGTCAGCCCACTGACTTTGCTGGCCAACTTCCTGGCCTCCTGGCCTCACAGCTCCCCACTCGTTCACTCACAGTAAGACGGGGAAGGGGCTGGAGTCTGGGAACGGCACTCTGGGCTGAGGCGGCAGGCCATCGCGGAGGGGAGAAGGCTGGTACTCCAGGTCTCGGCTCAGCCCCAGAGCTGTAGGCCTTCCCGGCAGCACCGCAGTGGAGGCGGGGGTGGGGGGGTGGGGGGCGTTGCAGCAGTGACACCCTCCGCCCCCCTCCGCTGGTCACAGAAAGGGCCTTTCCGCCCACCACGACCAACCACTAAACGCTCAGATGGTTCACAAGTGAGCAGCTTTTAGACGAAGAGCTCTCTGCGACGTGGACATCTGCTCACCTGGACTAATTCACTCAGCATATCTACGTTTCTAAAGATGGTGAACCAGAACTCTGGGATTCCTTTGGGGTTTGGCTCCTCTGCTGTCGCGACTTCCTTTTCCGCGATGACTACTTTACTTTTCACGTCTCCCTAAAAAAGCAAAGATGCGACAGAGAGCAATTACCGCAAAGCAACAAAGTTAAAAAGAATTCAACGGCTTAGTGCACGATGGAAGTTTCAGAACCCTGCACAAACTTCTCTCAGAAGCTGTTCTTGGAACCCGCGTCCCCAAGACCACTGAGCAGGTCACACTTTTAAACGTTTCTAAGGAACAAAACATTCAAGGCATTCCATCGGATGGATTTCCATGATACAATTTTACAGCATGGCACAGCACCAGCAAATTCAGGAAAGGCTGTCCAGCACCAGCTCTAGGAGACGTCCGTCTTGGGACAACCACCCACCACCGGAGAGAGACCCCATCCCCTCAGCAACAAGAAACAGCCAAGCAGTGTCTACCCCAAACGATAAGGACGTGACTATTAACATCGGGACAGAAACTCCACGCAAACATCAGGGAGGTGACCGGACAGGCTACGTGCAACCCGGGGGGTGGCGGGGGTGGGGGTGGGGGGAGGCTTTTCTAACATCAAAGCCCAGGAGAGGGCGGGCCCAGGAGAGGGCGGGCCCAGGGAGGTCAAGGACAACACCAAACGGAGCCACTGGAAAGTGCAAACGTCTCCTCACACGGGATTCTCGCGTGAAACGCTCGCGAGGGGCTTTTTAAATTTACAGAAGATTTTCCTTGAGCAATAAGGAAGCGATTGACAACTATACTCATCTGTAGCCATTGCTTCAACCAGGCCGGGTTCTAAGGCTATTGAGACTATCACACGCTTCAAAACAATTCCCTGAGAACTAATACTGGAGGATAGAAGACACTGGTCTCCCAAACAAAATCAGGCGGAACTTCCGGTCGCACTGGAATGGGACCAATCCTGGAAGGCTGTCCGCAGATCTAAACGCCCCGGGGCACACTGCGACTGCTCCGGGGTCGCTGCTGGGCCCCGAGCAGGGCGGCACAGACATCCACCACACCCTCCTCACAACCCTGACCTCGTAGTGACCGCTGACGCGGGTGTCCCCTCCTCTCATGGGACTGTGCCTTTCTCTTGACCGAGACTTTGCTGATGTTTTGAGTCCTGTCCATCCGACCCCACGGCTCAGTGCACTGCTGCACCGAGCGGCTTCCACGACCAGACGGAGAAGGGAGACGTGTCTGGTTCGCAGTTTTAACTGCTGCCAGCCCTGCTGGCCGCCCGGTGCTCCCCGCCACAGAGACATCCAAACAGCCAACCTAAGAGTGAATTCGCACCTACTGGGAGGAGCTCCTTCCTTGGTGATGTTACACCGAGGACTGAAACCTGTTCCAAGAGGTTGCTTATTTCTAACTGCACTGAAACAACAGAACACAAGTTGCAGTCGTTAAAAAAATACTCACGGCCAGCTTATCCTCCTCTTCGTTCTCACTGTGCCACTCTGATTCCGCGTCTGTTGGTTCAACATCACCAGTGATGAACTCCCTTCTCTTTAAGTAAAAGTGAGACCTTCTTAGAGCTATAGTAAGTTATCCAGGAACTCAAGAGTTAAGTTTGCAAATAACATCTGTGAAAAACCGAATGCTTTTATAACTTAAGATTCTAGGGGAGCCTAGGCGGGGGGTGGGGAGGGAGGGTGGCTCAGTTGGTTGAGTGGAGTCCGGCTCTTGGTTTGGGCTCAGGTCACGATCTCATGGTTTGTGGGTTCGAGCCCCACATTAGGCTCTGTGTTGTCAGCGAGGAAGCCTGCTTGGGATTCTCTCTCTTCCTCCTCTGCCTCTCTGCCCCTTTCCTGCTGTCTCTCTCTCTCTCTCTCTCTCAAAATAAATAAACATAAAAAAAAACAAAACAAAACAAGATTCTGAGGTTTAGGGCTTAAAGAGGAACATTCAAGGATTCATCACTAGGTACACGTGGATGTTTTACTTCAACTTAGATTTGAAATCCGTGAGTGAAATGTCCGCGCAAGCCGCCCACCTTGTCAAAGAGAGGCTGGTACAGTGCGGCATACTTCCTCTCCAGGTCATGCACCTCCTCGTAGAACTTGGCCTCTATGTGAGCACACTTCACCTGCAGCTGTTTCAACGCATTGATTCTTCTCTTCACCGCTTTGGGTAAACTGACACGAGATAAAAAGTAAAACATCCTTATGGCTGCAAAAGAAGGCAGAATGCTTTTCAATTTTCTTAAGATAAACGTAGCTTACCACAGAATTAACATCCTTACTACAGAAAAGGGCTCCTAAACACCGTTAAAAGGACAAACATCCCCACGGCAAAGAAAGGTGGAGGGGTGGGCAGAAGCGGACAACTAATCAACAAAGAAAAAATACAAATAATCAAACGTGGAAGAAAGGTTCAATCCCACGAAATATCTGGAAGAACATTGATTTACAAGAACCGCTGCCTTTTCCTTACCTAATTATCCATCAAAAACAAAAACAAAAACAAAACAAACGACTCCTGGGTTTGAGAAGCCTGAAAGGCAAACCAGAACCTGAATGTTACGGAATGTTCCTTGGATCCAGTAACTCTATTTGCAAAAATTTACCCTAAGGAAATAACCAAATATTTATGTGCTGATAGGTCCACTGAGACATTATTTGTCAAAGTTAAAAATAATGAAAATAAGGACAAGCTGAGCAGGGCTAAAACACAGCGTGTCCACAATCACATTTTCACACAATATTCAGCACCAAGAGAAGCGTTCACACTCACACACCGAGGGAGATACCAGACATGACACGGACAAATGGGGCCTGTTCCCTTCCAGAGTCAGGTAACTTTGAGCTTCTTTGCCTCCTGACACTTTTCTATACTCTAAAAATATTTGTTTGTATGCATTACTTTTATAAACAGATTAAAAAAAAAAAAAACCAACAAAACCCTTTCAACCCATCAGAACGAAGTTTAACCTGAAGCTCTCGGTCCCCATCTGGAACAAAGAGCAGGTCTCTGGGCCTCATCCCAGACCCACACGGCCCCCTGGACAGCGTCCACCTGGGCTGGGCCCTCAAGGCGGGGCTGGCACTAGCCTGGACACCACAGCCTTCCTCCAGAAAGGCACAGAAGGAACTAACCTTCCTTCAACAACAGTCCCAGCTGCTCCTATGCACAGCACTGTTTAGAAAGTACCAGAACAGCCTTATATCACAAAGGACCCCGGCCACCTCAAGGTAAAGGTCCTTTAGCAAGCCTCATAAATCCAGTCCCCCTTCTAGGACCTTCTGCTGGCAGGACAGCAAAGAGGAGGCACAGTGAGGACGTAATGAAACAGCACATACATAAACACCTGTATTTCTTTTGTGCATTTTAAAAAATGCACAATGTTTTTATATAAAAACATCTTTAAAATTTTGTTTTTAATTTTGTATTTGAGAGAGAGACCGAGAACGAGCAGGGGAGGGGCAGAGAGACAGAGGCGGAAGCGGAAGAAGGCTCCAGGCTCCGAGCTGTCAGCACAGAGCCTGATGTGGGGCTCAAACTCACAAACCGCGAGATCGTGACCTGAGCCAAAGTCAGACGCTCAACCGACTGAGCCACCCAGGCGCCCCTCTTCTGCATTAATCACACAATTACAACTATTTTTAGCTTTCCAAATCCTCCTAATGGAGTAAAAATAACAAAAGATTCTAAGCAAACTGGACCCTGACAACCTACATCCACTTGTCCTCCAACCGGTTACATTAACTCCAGAGTCTCCCCCGCAGGCACTGTCCGTGCAGTGCGGCCAACGTGGAAATAACTGCATTCCACGGAACCCTGTTCCTCCCCCGGCATTTCCTCCCCGTGAGCGCCAGCCCACTCGCCCAGAGTCTAGCCAGAAAGCTAGAGACCGTCAGCGCCCTCAAGTCTCCTTCTCCCAGGCAGTGTCACTACGTCCATCTGCGGGCAGCGGGGAGAGACCGCGCCCCGCCCTGAGCCTGGCCCGTGGGCCCAGGTGGCCCCCCAGCCCCCGAGCCGCACCACCCCCTACAGGCCTGCGTTTCTAGCACACGCTGAGCCCAGGCGCTCCTCTCTGGAAGCCGGAGCCCGGCTCCCAGCCCCCAAAGTCTGCTCGATGGGAAAGACGTTTACTCCCAGTGTAAGGAACCAGGAAATCGGTCTTTTTCCCTTTCTTGAAGTTGCACCAGGGGCCCACGCACAGCATACTCACGTCTCAATGTAACTGGAAGGAGTGTGGGAGACATTGTCAAGCCGTTCCTGTAGAGCTGCCAAAACTTGAGGGTTCTGCATCACCTGGTCGGTGAGCTCTTCTAGTAAGAGGTAAAAACAAGGCCAAAAAATTGAGAATATGCCCACCACAGAAGAGCCAAGAGTTAAAACTCATCAGCACGCACCTACTTAGCTTTGTTTATTTAATTTCTAATTTTTTTTTTAAATAGATTTTTACTTATTGAGAGACAGGGAGACACAGGGCATGAGAGGGGGAGGGGCAGAGACCGGGGGAGACACAGAATCCGAAGCAGCTCCAGGCTCCGAGCTGTCAGCACAGAGCCCGACGCGGGTCTCGAACCCACAGACCGCGAGACCACGACCCGAGCCGAAGTCGGACGCCCAACCGACTGAGCCACCCAGGCGCCCCCACGTTTATTTAATTTCTAAATGTAGCAAGTAGCTGAAGTACATGTTTTGAAAATACTCACTATGTATTTTAAAGGCGTTGGATAGCCTCTGTTAACTACCTGAGTGGTTAGAAATCCACTGAAAGGTACCTGGAGATTTCTGGTACTCACTTTAGCTGTCTAAGCCCCAGATCTCCCAAAAGAGGACAGAGTCATTTCCCAACGGAGGAATGCCTATCTCCTGCCGCCCCGCCATCCTGAGGGGACCCAGAGGCCAAGGACAAGGATGAGGCAACTGTCCCTCAGAGAAAACCAGCGTGCACCTGCAGTCTGGCTCACAGCCCCGGCAGGCTCCTGGAGCGTCCAGACGTCCAAGCGTTGCGGGTCCCCACCTTCACCTACGCTGCCCTGCCCAGACCCACCCCCAGCACATAGCAATCCCTGCCCGTCCTCCTAAAACTCACCGGCCTCGTCTACCACACTGCCCTTTTGGCTCACACAACATTTGTACTATTTCCCAACAAAGAAGCAAGACACTGAGGAGGAAGGAAGTGTCTCTGGCTCAACTGTAACCACAGAGTGGGCACATCATCTGGCCCCCGGTGCAGACTCTCAGCATCTGCTGAGCCAATGCCCTCTTACTGACACTCTACAGGAACCTACGTAGCACACTCACCTGACTCCAAAGGTAGTCTATACCTGGGAGCTCTCTCTGCTCCCTCACTCTTTTTTTTTTAAGATTTTCAAGTGACCTCTACACCTAACACAGGGCTCGATCTCACAACCCCGAGGTCAAGCGTCGCAAGCTCCACCCACTGAGCCAGCCAGGTGCCCCTCTTTTTGTAAGCAAGTGATGTGGGCAAGCAAAGGACACTAAAGTAGGCAACTGGATTTCAACATTTTAATTACAAAGAACTGCCACCATGAAATAGTGTGTATGTGTATTTAATCTATGTAACTGTGTAATGTAACACTGTATACGTGTACAATGCATAAATGCTACGTGCATATACACAAACACACGTGTCCTCTAGCTCTGGCCACTGAAAGGCCTAGAAACAATGACAGTTAGCATCTATGTTCTGGTTTTTTTTTTAATGTTCATATTTATTTATTTTTGAGAGAAAAAGCACAAGCAAGGGAGGGGCAGAGAGAGAGAGAGAGAGAGAGAGAGAGAGAGAATCCGAAGCAGGCTCCTGGCTCCAAGCTGTCAGCACAGAGCCCGATGCGGGGCCCAAACGCACGAACCGGGAGATCACGACCCGAGCCAACGTCAGGTGATTACCTGACCAGGCCTCTCTGGTGCCCGAGTTCTGGTTTTAAAATGTATCTCCCTACCAAAACAGGGCCCCTGGGACAGATGGTAGATTCCAGCTCTGGAGCAAGGGAAGTACAAGGAAACACGGACCATCACCTAGCGCACAAGCTGATGGGGACATAACAGAAGGCCACAGAAGCCAGCTTGAAAGGAACTCCACTGGCAATGTGGGACAACGTACATACCAGAAAGAATGATGGCAACTGGTAAGACACTGGAACAGAAATCGAGGAGCCTACAGTAACACTAAAATGGGGGTTGGGAGAGTAGGGAAGGAAAGCCGGTCTTCTTTCTTCCTAGTGTTTATTTCCAAAGAGAGAGAGCGAACGAGCCAGGGAGGAGCAGAGCAAGAGGGAGAGAGAGAATCCCAAGCAGGCTCCTGCTATCAGTGCAGAGCCCGGTGTGGGGCTTGATCTCACAAACTGCGAGATCACAACCTGAGCTGAGATCAAGGCAGTCGTTTAACCGCCTGAGCCACCAGGCGCCCCGACTGTCTTTGACAGATGTAATACACAGCAGGACCGTCTTAGAGAAACGCCTTGCTGCAACCACCAATGTCAATCCTGATTAAAGGATCACGACCACAACTCATGGAAAATAGGGTGCCCGCAGGATAAGCGACAGGTCACTCACTGACCGGACCCTCCCAACGGGGAAAGCTGCCAGGCGCTGACGTAACCAAGTCCTCAATCTCAGCACTGACCCCGGGCGCAGCCCCAGTGCCCCTCCCACACCATGTCCCCGGTGTGGCAGTCTGAGTGTGACGGGGAGGAAACCGCCTGACCCACCCAGAGTGTGGACGTTCTACACGACAGCCGGGGCACGCAGCCCACTGATGTGTCATCACGTGGAGGGCGGTTCTAGAACGAAGGAGACGGAACTGAATTGGAGACGTGACCCCTGGCCAGTCTCGGACTTGGGTGCGGGCGGCAGCTGGAACAGAGCTGCTGAGAAGCCCAGGGAAACAGGAACGCGACTGTGCTATCGGCTGGTGGTGCCCTGTCAACCCCGCATTTCTCCATTGTGGCAATGGCACCGTGGTGATGATTGTGCATCCTGCTTTGCAGGAAATTTACGTGGAACTGTTTTCGGAGAAAAGAGTCAGGTGGTCCACAACTTGCTTTCAAACAGTTCAAGGGTAAAAAGTACAGATACAGAAATTTTAAAATGGAGGAGAAATCCCATCTGTGAATTTACAGACCGAATGACATGATGGAGTCTGGGGTTTGCTCCAGAATAACCAGGGAAAAGAAGAGAGGACACAGATGGGAAGACCAGTCCTCAGCTGAGGCACAGAGATGCACTGTGCAAGTCACCGCACTTCTGGAAAGCCTGAAGTTCTGACTGTAAGTTTGAAATGAAGTCCCGATTTTCAGGGCGCCTGCTGGCTCAGTCAGTTAAGCATCCGACTCCCGATTTCCGCTCCGGTCATGATCTCACAGTCTGTGAGTTCCAGCCCCACATCGGACTCTGCACTGACAGCTCAGAGCCTGCTTAAGCTTCTGTCTCCCTCTCTCTCTGCCCCTCCCCTGCTCACTCTCTTTCTCTCTCTCAGAATAAATAAACTTAAAAAA